GAGCTGGCTGGGTTTCGGAACAGTTCATCTGTGACAGATGGGCTGGCTAAGCAGTTGGTGTGAGCTTCCCCCTGTGGGAAGGACTAAACCCAGAGACAGTGGCAGCTATGTTTGGAGTGGAAGAATTCCGCTAATGATGAGCAAAGGCTGAGTGACTCGACATCTGGTTGGTGTGCTTGGGAGTCCAGACTGCAGTAAACCTGGGCTTCTCTCTGTTGTTCTTTCTGGTATCTGCCCTGGTGAACAGTGATGGGTTGTAGCTGAGCCTTGAATTCCCTTCCTTGTTGTGGGCACCCCCTCCTGCTAGGGATGAAGGTTGGGTTGGATTGAAGGGTTGGATTTTTTCCAAAGCTGCCAAGCCAATTTGGAAGCACGCTTCCCATTAATTTCTAATGTGGGCCTGTCAGGTGACACATACCGGCTCAGAGGCTGGGGGCTGTCTGGGTGTCTGCACCACTGAGCAAAATCACAACTGATGGCCAGAGAACTTAGTCTCTCATTTGGCCACCTGCTTAGGAAGTATTGTAGTGGGAAGGCATTCCTCAAACCAGTCTGGTAGCCTTTTACAGAAGGCCTTGCCTCTGAGCTAAGAAGGGAAGTATAATGCGTTGGACTCTATATTGCATTGACTCTTAAAAAGAATTGCTCTTTGTGGTGGTCTATAAAGAACTCCTTCCAGATTAAGCCAGTCATGTTATGTACACATGTCAATCTCCATGCAGTATTGGGGTGGGAGGGGGGTAGAACGTATTCTGTCTAGCTACTGGTCAATGCAGGAAAAAATGGTAACCAGTGGGTCTTCTGGTGGTTGCTCTTTGCTTCATTCTATGATGACTACAGCACTGCAGGCACAAGGAACCTTATGGAGTAAATTGGCACCTTGAGTCTGAATGGGGGAGAAAACTGAACCCAGTGCAATGGGGAAGGCAATGATTCCAAGTGAATGGTGTGGTCAGAGGACTGCCCAAGGAGATGATCTCCAGAGCTGTAGGCTGGAGGGTATGACACAGGTGTGAGGGACACTGGGTAGGAGGCTACAGCAATAAGGTGAATGTTGAAGAACCTGACTGAGAAATCTAGCTGCATGGACCTGGAATGTGTTCTAGCAAGATTTGGACACTGCTTGCTTCGCTGTGTGAGGAGAAGGAGCTGAGGAGAACTCCCAGGTTATGGGCCTGTGTGGCAGGGAGGATAGTGAGGTCACAACAGTGGAAGGGAAGTAAGTTTAGGCCAAGATGAGTGACGATGACAAGACTCCCCCTGGCAGGAGATGTCAGAGGCAGGCTTAGATGCAAGATTGGATGAAGGGAGACCCTTCAGGTAGGGCCGGGTAGATCTGAGTCAGCTACTTAGTGGCTTCTGTTACTTCCAATCAGTGGGTCATCCAGAGAGGCTGCCAAAGGAGGAACTCTGTGGAAGCCTCAGAGTGGGGGAGGATGAGGACCCCAAAAAAGAGCTAAAGTTTCTGCCAGGGAACTAGGGGAAAACCAGGAGAGGACTGTATGAAGACACTGGATGTAGTTCTGGTCCCATCAACTTGTATCAGGGTCTACATGTACACCCTTCCACCCAGCAGAGAGAGGTACCGCTCCTGCTGTAGGAGGACCATCACTGTATAACAGGCTCGTTTTACATGTCTGTCTCTCTCCATGGTTCAGGATATAAAGCCATACTTTGATTCCAGCTCCGCTATGACTTTGCAGGACTAACTGCTCTGACTTCTGTCAGAGCCGCCCAGAAGGAATAACTGCCAAAAGCCCAAAGTGAAAATGTTTTGGTTTAAAGAGTCTCTGATCTCAGAGATGATGCCCAGAAGCTTGGCCTAGAAACAGGGATCTAATTATACTATAACCCGGGAAAGATCAGGTTATGTCCATAGTGCAGCTGGGGACTTCTGAGCGTAGCTGTGAACAAGTGAAGCTATTCTGCTAGAATCCTGTAGAGAAGGCCTCCAGCATGGTTACTTTCTTCAAGGACTGGGGTGGTGCTCAATTGGTGCATACTAAACACCAAATTGGGCCAGCCATAGCTGTGTTGTAAAGCCCAGGGTCTACTCCCTACATAGGCAGATCAATAAACCCAGTGGTGAGAGGACTTGTTGGTGTTAGGACATGGCTACACTTGCAGATGTAGAGCGCTTTGAGTTAAATCCGCCTTCGGAGAGCGCAGTAGGGAAAGCTGTCCACACTGACTGCTTCAAGCGCACTGGCGGGGCCGCATTTGCAGCCGCATTGGGAGCGGTGCATCATGGGCAGCTATCCCAGCATGCTAGTGACTGCAACCTGCTTTCCAAATGGGGGGGGGGGTGGAGTGTGACAGGGAGCGTCTGTGTATGTGGGGGGAGAGAGTGGGTTTTTGGGGGGCTGAGAGCATGTCAGCATGCTGTCTTGTAAGTTCAGACAGCAGCAGACCCCTCCCCCATGTGTGTGTCTGTCTCTCTCTCTCACACACACGCGCGCACACACACCATTCCACGCTAATGGTTGCTTTGTCTCAGAGCAGATAAGCAGCGGCTGTCAGAAACAGGAACTTTCAAAGGGCATTTCCGCATTCCTGCAGCGATTAAAAAACAATGACAAGAGTGGCCACTTGACCCAAGGGGATTATGGGATGTTTCCGGAGGCGCAGTAATGCAACACCTCATTCACGCTGAAGCCCAGGCGTTCCAGCCAAGACGCAGCAAACGTTAATCTTCTTGCCGAGGTGGAGTACCAGGAGTGCTCTACATGCCTTGCCAGTGTGGACAGGAAGTGAGCTAGGGCGCCCGGGGCTGCTTTAATGTGCTGTAGCCACGCCCTTAGGCTTGTTCAGTGTTCTGCCCTAGCCTCTGATCAACCCTTCCTGCAACTCCTCACAAGGGCTCTTGACTTGACAAAACCTTTTACAAAAGGCACAAAGCACCAGCCTTTGTTTCAAGAGAGGCCAAGGTAAACACAGCCGCTTACTTCACTTGCTAGGGAACTGTCTTCTGGCTGTCTGAACTGTTGGGGTGTGAGTGAGCTGTAAGGGATCAGCAGTGAGGAAAACTCCCTCCCTCTCCAGAGTGCTTTTCGAAAAACCAGAATTGCAGAGTGTTCAGTCATGATTTTTACTGCCTCTAAGAATGCTCCATGTTTCCTTTCTGCAGCCTAGCAAAAAAGGATTTCTGCCTTGGGTGAAAAGGTCATGAAAAGCTCCACCATGGGGAGACACTACGAATTGGACCCGGGCTCCTTCCCAACTCCGCTAGTGACTTCCTGTGTGGCTTCACTGGTTAGTCTGGCCAGCCATCATGTCTGGTGCTGTGCTGGATGTTAACTTGCCTGCATGAGACTTTTCCACCCCTACTCCCTTTCCCTAATAGAAGGGGAAGGCTTGATGTGCTTTCAGAGCCCTACTGGTACTGGGCAGCACCACCAGGGTGGGAAGGATGGTCTAGTGCAGCATTTCCAAGATGGTGGGTTGTGGGGAAGGTTTTCGGTGGGTCATAGGCCAGGTGCAGACAGGTGGCCTCAGGGAGGTGGGGGGGTGGAGAGCAAGCCCATCCTGCACACATCCTCCAGTGGAAACTCCTGTGCCACGGGGCTGGCCCTGATTCTCATCGTCCTCCCCCTCACCAAGTAGTTCAAACTGGGCACCAGGCTCACAATGCTACTTGCTCAACCCCACCCACCTCAGCCTCCCTTCTGGGCTGGGATTAGGCCCACAGTGCAGGGGCGGAGAGTGCTGCTGTGGGTGGTTGGTGCCCCCTCAGTGGGGCGAGGAGAAGGACACTGGCCTGTGGCTTTGGGGGAGCCCCCATGAATTTGGACCCAGTGTGGATCACAAAATAGGCTGTGTGGTTGGTGGGTCGCTGAAGTAAAGTTTGGGAACCTCTGCTCTAGCAGCTAGGATGTTGGAGTGGGATTAGACCCAGGTTCAGTTCCTTGCTCTGCCGTAGAGTCCCTGCATGATCTTGAGGAAGCTTCTTCATCTACCTGTGCTTCAACTCCTCATCTCTGCAACGGAGAGAACCCTTCCCCTTCTCCCACAGGCCTGTGGTGAGGGTAAAATCCATTAATGTCTGTGAGATGCTCCGACAGGACAGTGAGTTCTGGAAGTCCCTATACAGACCATCTCAGCTCCTGTCCCCCAAACAGTCCCGCTGAGCGAGTGGTGGTGCTGCCCCCCTTTGAGAACAGGTAGGCCAGATGGTGTCATAGGTTCTCCTTTGTTCATATGACTGCTAGGTTAGTGTGTGAACTGACCTTGCTGTGCAGGGGCCAAGGGAGCCATTGGTGGGCTTGGTGCATCTGTCTCTCTAAGTGAAAGGAGACAAAACCCTTTTCCCTGAGGTGTTTGAGGATTGTGGAGTTCTTGCCGCTCTCTGCTCCCTTCGCTGCATTAACAGGCCCTTCTGGCACTGAGAAGGACCAACCTTTGGATCAGTGGTTGCTCTGCTTGTGCACAGGAATTGGGGCTGAAACCACAAGTTACCTGGTGTCTGGGAGTGTTTGAGGAGGATTAGTTGAACTTAAGGGGAGGGGAACTAGAGAAAAAGGGAGACAGGGGTCTTTGAAAATTTTACCCTAAGTCCCACTGATTTTTTTTTTTCTAGGAGGTTTGAGCTCCTAGTTGCTCTTAAAATCTTACCCAGAAGCTTTTAACTTGCCTAGCAAGTGTGATGAGAATATCTTAGAAAATGCCCTGGCTTGCTGGAGAGAGATGCTGCATTTTGAGCAATAACTTTTGAGTAAAGGGAGACAAATACCCTTTGAACTGAGAGCCACTGACCTCAGTCTCTTCTCCACTTCCCACCCTGTGTGTGTGTGTTTAAAAGGGGCACTGTCAACAGCAACTAGTGCACAGATGCGCTACTTGTAAGTAAATTGGCTGTGTCTCTGTGGAGAAGGAAGCCCACAGGAGGCAGCAGGATGAGACCAGAGATGGGACCTGTACGCTTCTTTTGCTAGCCTGGGAAGACCACTGAAAACTCTACTCCAGTATTGATGTAGATGTGTTTTGTTTTGTTCCCCCCAAAGCTATCAAAGTGAGCTGTGTTGGATCTTGCGGCGTGTCCAACAAGGTCAATGACACCGCGTGGACTGTGGAGGAGCAGTACTTTAACAGCACGCTCTCGCTGGCGGATAAAGGTAAGATCAACAAGGGAAGGGGATATGGGTGAATGGAGAACTGTCTGATTAGTTGGAAGGGTCCTTCCCTTTGGATACCTTTTTGGACAGGTTTTTTATTATGATGTAGGTTCCGCATGTGTGCGCCAACAAGATACCTAATGCCTCCATCTCCTGAAATACCCCTATATTGAAACTGGCTTAGCTGCATGCAAAGTACAGGTGACTTCACGTTAGCTGGGCTATACGCAAGATGGCTAGGCCTTGTCTACACTATGCAGAAAGGCCTTGGAACCCCAGTACAACACAGCACCTGCCTCAAGTGGCTTTCAGACATTGCTTGCAACATCTGGGCCAACGTCTCTAGCTCATGCCTGGTTAGGACTAATGCAGTGTACAGTGGTTTCTCTCTGGTGCAGTCAGTCGACGGGTGTTGCAGCTACACCTGTTTTTTGCACAGTGTCTTTAGAAACTACAAAGGCCCTGCCTGCCACTTCAGTGCTGGATCTTCTAGAAAGGTTGCTTCAGGAACCGCAGAATGCACTGGCCCTAACCATGGGAATGAGGTGTGGGGAGTCCCTGTAGCAGTGCTAGAATTGTAAGAACGGAGTCCCTGCAATGCTTCCCTCGCTCAGCAGATACACACCCAGTGTGTGTGTGTGTGTGTGTGTGTGTGTGAGCTCCTGGCATATATTCCTGCCACAAGTCAGAATGACTTGGGTGTGCTCCAGGGACTCTGCGTTTGAATGAATGCTGCCTTTCAGCCACTAAATAGGTCAGTACACCACAAATAATTCACGCTGTATCTAGGCTTCCATTGAAACCGATCGGTACCTGCCACCTGCCACAGCAGCGTATCAAGTTGTAACTTATATACTGAAGTGTGTTGTGTGTAGCAAGGAAACAAACTAATGGGCCTTCAGAGGCCTCATCTCCTAGTAGGAAATGGACAAGAGGCAGTAAAACAGGACTGACAGCTTTTGCTAAGTGGGCAGTTTGCAAGCAGAGCTTTTAGCACATGCTGGAGAAAGGTCAGCTATATCCTGCAGTGTTTCTTGGGATAAACTTCTCTCCAGCCCAGACCCAGGGGTGAAGAGGAACCATCAGGGTTACTTTCCTGTTGGCTTGGCACATGGATCAATAGGCTGGAGGAGTGGATTGAATCACACTTTTGTTTTCCACATACAGCATGGGGGGGGGGGGGGAGGAAGAGAGTAGGAAAAGCCCCCCCCCCGTCTCCCTTGGAAATGGCCCAGAACAAAGCCAGACAGTGCATACAGCAGGCTGTATGAATATCTGGGCTGCCGAATCCCAAAGGGCTTTACAAAGCACTCCAGGTAAAACAGCCCTAAGTGAGTTGAGAGCTGGATGCTTTCTGCACGTGGACTGTAGGGCTTTTGGCTGGCTTAAGACTCCATTTAAGTCACTTTAAAGTGGTTACAGGTTAAAGTCTGAGCATTGGAGCGTGGTGGGTTTTTTTTCTTTTCATGCCAGTGATTTCTGTGAGGATCCTGCATCTGAATGACTGTCTGCTGCTTTGGAAAAGCTTAACCATGTAGCAGTAGATAGGGAAAGTGAGCTGTATGGATTGTGCGACTTTGCAGTGTCCCAACCGCAGAAGTTCAATTGAGGGATTCAGGCAAAATAAGCAAATACATTCTGTCCTAGCAGTGCTGTTGCCATCAGGCATCCTCCCATTTTGTTGGAATAAAGACTGGGGAGACTGAAGCCCACAAACACCAAGGGAAGGCAGAACTGCCTGTTGGGGATGTGCATTGCCTGTGAAACTTGCCCTCTGTTTAATCTTTGAATCATTGTCGAGGGAGGAACCATCATACCTGCGCTTCTGTCCTGATTCACTCAAAGTAGAGGAAAACAGTGTGGCCCTTGGGATCCTTGAAGCCTCTAAATTAGGGCTCCCCTGCACTAACCTGTGGGGTGGAGGAAGGAATGCAAATCCCTGGCACAGATGGGGAATGGACTGTTGAAGTCATGACAAAGCTCAGATTTTTTTAATGTCTCCAGAATGAGCAAAGAGACTTAAGCCTGGATTTCCAAAGCAGCTGAAGAGTTAGCTGCCCAGTTCCCACTGAGTTTCACTGAGGGGTGGGTGCCCTGCTTCTTGGGCTCAGTTGAAAAGCCCAGCCAGTGTCCTTAAAATCTCTAAAGTCGGGTAACTGTGTCTCAGCTAACATTGACCAAGGATAGGAGGCACCTGGGAGTCAGAACTCCCTGGAGTCTGTCCCAAGCTGTGGCCACAGACAAGCTGTGGCCACAGATTCACTTAAGATCCGATTTATCTTCCGAGGTGTTGAGTGCTTACAACTCCAGTTCAGAACCATGGGGAGCTGGAAGTGCTCAACATCTGTGAAAACAGACCTTATGGCCTGTCTTTCACTTAATACAGAGCTCACAGGGGTGTCTGTGTTGAATTAGATTTTTGTAAGGGGCTTTGGGATGCACCAGAAAGTGCTAGAGAAAGGTAAAGTCAGATCCTAGTTTTGGTGACTTTTTCCTACAATTTGTTCATTGTTTAATCTAAGTAGAAAGGACTGTCTGAGCAAGGCAGCTAAAAAACAGCCAGTGCATGAATACCTGTCAAAGGTATTGGAAGGTGTGCTCAGCTACCTATGGAGGAGTTGAATATTCTCCCTATTTTTATAGATTTGGAAACTGAGGTGAAAGGTCAAGTCACTTGCTTGGAACTGGTGACGTGGATTGGCAGATTCGGCATTACAGGGACTTGGGTATAAGAACCAGATTACATATGGACTCTGCTGTGTAACCATGGGTGTGTCATTATGTTTGCAGCATTGTAGTGGCCATGTTGGTCCCACGGTGGGTGAAGTAATGTCTTTTATTGGACATTGGAATAGACAAAGATCTGTCAGTGATCTTTGCCTAGTCCTCAGGCATAAATAATGCTGTACAGTGCTTTTTAAATACGACTTAATACTGAGGCTTGGGCAGTCATTTTAGGTGAATGTAGCACTCGTGACCTCCTGCCTCCCATCCCTTTTGCTCATTTCCCTAGAGCAGAGGTAGGCAGATTACAGCCTGCGGGACTGTCCTGCCCAGCCCCTGAGCTCCTGAGCCATGCCACCGCGAGCGCAATGCTCTGGGCAGCGGGGCTGCAGAGTCCGGCCTGACCCGGTTCTCTGTGCTGCGCGGCTGCCTATCCTGGTGCAGCCGTGCCACCGGCGCTCCAGGCAGTGCAGTAAGGGAGCAGGGAGTCGGGGGTTGGATAGAGGGCCTGCCCCTGGCCCTGCCCCTGCCCAGAGCATGTTACTTGTGCTAGGACACTAGTCTCACCTGCCAGCGTCTGTCTTTCTTGCCAATCTTTGTGCTGGAGGATTTTGAAAGTGCCAGTCTATTTTCCACACTGGAACAGGAACAAACATTTCAGCAAAAAGTCCATCATTTCTTTTAAAAAAATAAATAAAAATAAAGCAGCCATTTTAAAATGGTGTCTCTCACAGGCAAACTTCATAGAGGAAAAAGTCTTAGCGTAGGTACCATTATTCATAACTCCAAAAATATTGATCTGAGTTCACGCTTTACTAAACTGAAAAATGACTGAACTTGTAGAGCTGTCATCTTAGTGGTCCAGAGTTAAATGTTGCACACCTGTTCAGATCACACAGGGTGGATGTTTGTGTGTCAACTGCCAGCCCTGTAGACTCCACTTGAGATCTGAGAGTCAAGCTGGGCACTTTGAGGCTTGCCTGCCATTGCCAGGAATAGTGGTCTGTGGTGGCTTTTTTTGCAGTTGGCACTTACCCATCGGTTTGTTAGATGCATGATGAAGAACAGAATGCAGCTTATTCGCCTGTAGCTGTGTTGGTTCTGCAGGGCTAGCTGGCGTAAAAAGCAAAAGCAAATGGTTTTGTCATAAAGTCAGCAGATGCGTCTCAAAAATGCACTGGGAGCAGATCTGTTGAGTAATAAGATGGTTTAGCGATTTATTGCTATTCAACTGCCTTCTAAAGCAGTCATTAGTCACTTCACTTCTCTCCCCACACACCTGTCACTTATTCGGCTGTCTTGCAAATTTGTAGTACAGTTATGGAAAGAGGCTTAGTACTATTTCGACTAGAAATTCACAGCTGAGTACCAGGTAGTCATCTCCATGACATCCAGCTGTATTATTGTCTCTTGCATCTCAAAACCACAGTGGTTTTAGTCAGACACTGAGGCCCTGGCTGTGCCGAGTGCTGTTGCAGCGTCATGTACGTGCTCCCTACAGAGACGGGGAGTTTTTCCATCCCTCTCGTTTAATCCACAGGAGAGTGAGTGTGTGTGTGTGTGTGTGTGTTTGTGTGGTTTTTTTTTTTCCCCCCCTCCATTGACCCAGCCAGGCCTACACCAGGAGTTAGGTCGGCATAGCTACAGCATTCAAGGGGTATGAATTTTTCACGTGTGTGTGTAAAACCCACAACCTCATGGGTGTGGTGCTCTTTCCCATCTAGACCGAGACCACTTAGAGAGAGCGCTAGGGCTGTAGAGCAGACTCAAAGGGCCATGTGGCTTTTAGCTCATGCAACAGAGCAGTGGCCCCCACCCTTTGTGGGAATAGCGTATTCATATTCCCAGAAGACTGTGGCGGGTGCCAGACACCCCGGCCGCCAAGAAGCGGCACCACCGAAATGCTGCCGAGCAACTGCAAGGCTTCTCGGCAGCATTTCAGCGGGCGGTTCTCCGGCGGCCGTGCTCGGCGGCACGGCATCCTGCGGGCGCACACAACTGCCCCGACGGGCGCCATTGCGCCCGCAGGCACCGCATTGGGGACCCCTGCAACAGAGGCTCATGCATTTCGCTCCAGAGGTCCCAGGTTTGATCCCACCTGCCGATGGCTGGCGTCTGTTGGTGTTGCATGCGAACCATTGGTGCATTACTCCACTGACCATCTGTTCCCGTTCTGCTTTGCTCTGCCCTGCCTTCCCAAGCAGGCCTTCTGATGAGGCAGGCTGTGCTTTCCAACTCCTAGATCTAGTTACCTCCTGCTCAGCTGCTGTCCCCTT